TATTTAACTCTTCCCTCCATCTATTCGTTTCTATTGCATTCGACACATTTCGGTACCTAGGAAGTTTTCCATTTGCTTTATAATATCGTAAAAGGGTTCAGCTCAATTGAAACTTACAAAAGTGTTCAATTAATTCACCACCTACTATGTGCTGGCCCTGGGCTAGAAGCAAGGCCATCAAAGACTACCTGGATCATCTTCCAAAGAAAAGGAGTGCCCTGTGAGTGGATGGAGCCAACTCCTGGTCACTGTCTACTTCCCATGGAGCCTGGCCCAGCAGCCTGACAGAGTGGCATGAAAGCCACAGTAAAATGAACTTTGGAGATCTTATATTCTAGGTTGAATATTTTACCCCTAAGAACTATGAGGTTGCTGGGTGCAGTGGTGCACACCTGCAATGGAAAACTCAACCAGGAGGATCACAAGTTCAAAGCCAGTCTCAGCATCTTAATGAGGTCCTAAGCAATTTAGGGAGAACCTGTCTTATAATGAAACATAAAAATATTTAAAGTAAAAAATAATTTGTTGTATACTTCAAATTAGTAGATTTGTAATGTTTTACTACAAAGTAATAAAAGTTTGGATATGATGGTTACAAAAAAAAAAAAAAAAAGACCGGGGATGTGGCTCAGTGGTTGAGAAACCCTGGGTTCAATCCCTCCCCCCAAAGAACTATGTGACTTTGAGAGTCACTGCATGAATCTGAACTTATTTCCTCATAGTAATAAAGATACCTTGAGTGCACTTTTGTAGCTCTGGGAGCCACTGGGTAGTTCAGTCAAGACCCTTGTCTCCTCTCTGTCCTCAGTGGTCACTCACCGTCAGAAGCATACTTGACTGAATGACGGATTTTGCATTTGTATTTGGAGTGGGGTATGAGAAGCATGATGTTAATTGTCCACACCAATTATAAAATGCATTCTGATTTCTTTAACATTAAAATAGGAAAGTGCTTCTTTGAATCAAGACCATAGGATGTCTATTGAAGTGCTCAAGTGTTTTGAAAATGGAAAACTATTGTCTAACTGTGAGCTCTGATTATGGCGTACTCAAATAGATATTTTCTGAATTAATGAGGTGATTTTCCTTCTTTTTGCTTAATCCTATTTATTAAGAATTCACTCTATTTTGTTTTTATTTTTGTTAGGGAAAATTTGAAAATACACAGAAGGGAAACCAACAAATTCCAATTTACCTGTTAACGGCTACAAGGAAAATCAACACAGGGCCTCCCTGGGTTACCTATATCCCTGTTCAGAGGTTAGTCAACAACATGCCTTCTGGATTATTTTCAAGTAACACTCCAGATCTTATATGATTTAGTTCATAAATACTTTTAAGGAGTATTTCTTGACCTCTCATTTTCTATCCATGTAAAACAAGTTTTCTCAGAGTCCTTTACCAGCTCAGTTAGCACTGCACACTTCTGAAAGGTCCACATCAACCCAGTTGGGAAATACACTTCTTTAAAAAGGCCTCTTACTAAAAACAGTTACTGAGGATGGGAGGTTAGTTTGAAAATCACTTGGGAGAAAGAAGCTGGGAATGGAGCTCAATGGTAGAGCACTGGCTTCGCATGTGTGAGACTCTGGGTTTGATTCCCAACACCAATAAATAAACAAATAAATAAATACGATCAATCTCAATTTGGGGAGTGAAAGCCCTTGATTCTTCTCACCTCTCTGAATATCTTCCATTTTTTAAAGCCCTCCCGCCTTTGGTACTGGGGATTGAACCTAGGAGTGCTTAACCACTGAGACACATCCCCAGCCCTTTTTATGTTTTATTTTGAGATAGCATCTCCCTAAGTTGCCTAGAACCTCACTAAGTTGCTGAGACTGTCTTTAAACTTGTGATCCTGCTGCCTTAGCCTCTGAGCCGCTGAGATTACAGGTGTGTGCCACTGTGCCTGATTTCTTCTTTTTGTTCTGTTTCTGTGGGTTTAATCATTATATGATATGGTTCTAATGATAGTATCCATCTTGGGTCATTACGGAAACATTAAGCATTTTCAGCAAATTGCTTTTATTCCAAGAGTATTCTCTCACCATCATGAATCATAAAGAGAACTATACAGATGCAGATGTCTACCTGTAAATTTTAAAAAATGCATAATTTTTACAAAATAATTAGCTACTCAGTATATGTCTAGTTTATGTCTTAGTAGCCATTTCCAAATCAGCCACTGTGTTTGACATTTTAGAAGCTCATTTAGAAGTTCAGGGGGATTCCCTGAACAAAACTGCTTTTCCTTACTTTCTAATAGTTTCAGATTGCCAGTTCTGGTTGTAATGCTTAAGTACAGCCCCTTGGACACATTTACTTAGATGGGCTGTGGTGATCTCAGATGAGATGGCAATCAGTCGCAGAAGTGGTTTGACCACTCAAACAAGAAGCAAACTGCATTTGTTTTCACCAAGACTGAGGACTGTTCTTGTTACAATGTCTGCTTTATGCTTTGAATATAGCCCTTGCTGCTCTGCCACCCAGACTTTTTAAAGGACATATTTCTTTCTCTTGCTCTTTTCCTCCCCCCCCCCACCCCCCCATCTCAGGAGAAACAGGATTACCTTTCTTCCTCATCCTAGGCAGAATTATCTGTCCTTGTCCTTGAGCACACACCCACCACAGGAACAAGTAATTCAGATCTGGGGATGACAACCAGAATATCTAGGAAATGGCTATCTCCCAGATTTAGAAGTGAATTCAACTCCAGACTGAGAACACATGGAATGTAGCCTTTGAATCACCTCTTTAAAAACCCAATTCCCTCTGATGGGCAGAGCCACACCTCTGGGTCAGAGTCCCCATGGTTCTCCTTTTCTAGCAAAGCATTAAAACTTCTTTTTTCTTTTTCTCAAAAACATGTCCTCATTATTGTATTGACATCAGGGAGAATGACGGAGCTCTTCTTACATTCTGGGCTGCGGATGCTCCTGCCGGTCAAGTTTCGCAGCATTATGAACAGTGCGGCTTCAATTTCTGTACTTGCTATTCTGAAAGTATTGGAGTTTTACACTCAAGAAGCAAGTGATTCAATTTCCAAATCAGCCAGTCATGGGTCAGGGTTCTGGTAGGAGACTCATTTGAATCCCCTCCTACCGAGATGCAGAAACCAATCAGAATCCTGCTGCAGTGCAATAGATTCTTCCATTGAAAGCTGCTTCCTTCACCAGCAGCTGAATCTCAGGACTGCAGTGCAGCTTTCCCTTTAGGCTTTCTGCCACCCAGGCCAAAGAAACAACTCTGTCCTTTCTTTCACAGGTTACCACATAGTTTGGAACGTTTAGGGCAGTTTTTGAAACTTCATTGGTATGTGCCAGAGATATCCTTTTTAACATGGTTGAAAGACTATTTTGTGATGTCAATTTTTATTTATTGCATAAAATATTTTAATGCATTAAGGAAATATGTAGCTTAAGAAATTACTGTTTTGAAACAGTTGAGGCTTGAGGTCCAAAGTTCAATATAAGTTAATGTTTACTGAACACCAATTTTTCATAAGCTTGTTGAGGTCCTGGGTATAGCTCGGTGGTCGAGCATGCGCCTCAAGTGTGCAAGGCCCTAGGTCTTCGACACACCCTGCCCCACCCCATTCCTGCCTTCAGATCATCTCCTATCTTATTGGGAAGAAAAACCCAAACTCAGGGAACAATTTCAAAATTAAATAGTAAAGCTGGGCAAACACACCAGCAATGAAACACGGTACCATGTGCTCGGGTTTACGAAAGAGCGTTTCAGGCGGTATGTTCTACTGATTAGGGATCACGGCGACCCGAAAACCCCTGGAAAATCTTCACAAAGAGGGTACACAGAGGAAGAGAGGGAGCCAACAGCCTGCGAGTCTGGAGAGAGGGAGTAGTGTGGCTGAAGCATTGTGGGTGGTGGGCAGTCAGAGGGTCGGTAGGGGCCAGGTCGGTAAATGGGCTAGTGGCCGCAGCCAGGCGACAGCAGGACGCAGAACTAGGCTGTCGTGCGTGGGATTCCCTTTCCTTTCCTCCCTCCCCTTCTTTCTGTCTTTCAAAAACGAAACCCGATTGGACATTCAGGGACATCCCCGTCGCGGGGCGATAAAGCACGCGCCAGTTTTCTGGGTCCTGCAGCCTGGGGGTGGAGCTCAGCGACGTCGGAGGGGGTTGGGCCAGGTAGTATCAAATTTAGCACTGGGTCCCCCCACCCCCGGGCTTTGGTGAATGACGTTCTGCTAGCCGAAGGAGCCCGGGGCGGGGGGGCGGGGTGATAGGCGTTTTCCTAGGCGCCCTCACAATTCGAATGTCTGAGTCTGCTCCGAGTCTGCAAACGGCGGCGGGCGACCACCCGCTGAGCGCGCCTTGGGCGTGGTGTTCACCGATTTCGTCTAGCTCTAGCTCACCAGAAATGGGAAATTAATAACGCGGATGAAGTCACAACGTGTCTCAGGGAGAGCTGAAAAACAAAATGCATGAAAGGGCCCCAGAAAGAACCAGCTTCGGTGCAGCCAGGTCTGCAGAACTGCAGCCTTCCGGGCCCTCCGTCATCCCGAGCCCCGGCCTCCGGCTCTCCTCTCCGGCAGCCAGCAGATGGCTCCCGGGCTCGCTCGCCCTCCCTCTTCCCTCCGCAGGCAAGGGGCTTCGCGGCTCCGAGCCGGCCGCGCAGGGGCGCGTGCCCGCCGTGGCCGCCCGGGCAGGCCTCCCGGGTGCGTCCCGCGTGGGCACCAGCGCGCAGGCCGGGGGTGGCCAGGACTGGTGCGGAGGCCGGCTCTCGCGAGGTGAGGAGTGAGCGCAGCACTAGGAGGAGGGACCGCAGGAGCAGGAGGAGGAGAAATCGCACCAGGAGGAGGAGGTAAAGGGACCGCAGGAGCGGCAGGAGGAGGGACCGCAGGATCCGGAGGAGGAGGGACCGCTGGAGGTGGAGGAGGCGGAGGGGCGGGCCGGCGCGGCGCCCGCCCCGCGGAGCCTCGGGAGGGCTCGGAAAGCCACCTCCCCGTGCCGCTGTCCCCGCCCTCTCCCACGCCTTCCGCCTGCACCTAGGGCCGTAGGTGCGGCGCCCAGGCTGCGCGGGAGCTGGCGCCAGCTGGGGCCGCGCGGAGGAGCCAGCCTGCCGGGGGGAGCAGCAGCCGGCGCCGGCGCCCGCGCCCGGAGTCCCGTCCGCTCGGCGTCCTGCAGCCCGAAGCTGCGAGGGAGCGTCATGTAGCAGCGACCGCCGCAGCCCACCTCATCTTTCCAACTGTGTTTTTTTTTTTTTTTTTTGGTGGGGTGGGGGGCGCAGCAAAATTGTATTTCCGCCCTCCCCTTTGCCCACTCGCATTTGCAAGCTGCATCAGCCTCTCAGAAACCTTCGGGGCGGGGGCCGAAAATCAGAGTTGGACTGTGACACCCCCTGCGCCTAGAGGGCAACCATGGCCGAGGAGAGCGCCGACGTTCCCCGGGAGTTGATAGGTAAGGTCGCGCGGAGGCTGTTTTCCATCTTCCTCTGCGTCCTCCTCCCCTCCCTTTCCCGCCTCTGCCTCCTGCGGGTCCCCCAAGTCCCTGTGCTCCTTGGGTCGGAGTGGCGGTGGGCAGGGTCGCTGGGGGCGCCGGGAAGTTTGCGCCCATCTGATCGCTGGGAGAGCCCGAGGCCGGAGGGGGGGGGCGAGTCGGGCGCCCGGGAGGGGCCGGTGGGCTGGAGCCCCGGCGCTGGTCCTCCTGGACCAGCGGGTGCAGCCGCAGAGAGCAGGCGGGGGCAGCTCACGCCCGGGAGCTCCGAAAGCGAGGGAGACGCTTTACGCTGCCCCAAACTCTGCAAAGTCCGGGAAAGCCTGGCACAAGGACAGCCGGCGACAGCACAGCAGGCCGTCCTGGCCCGCGTCGGGCACCCTCCAGAAACGCCCCGCAGGATGTGCCCCCTAGCCGGCTGCCCCGGGAGGAGGGCTGCTCGGTGTAACGACTGGGCCCGGCAAGGCGTGGCTTGGCGTAGAAGGGCGCTGGGAGCGAAAGGGTTACAGGGCTGACGCAAACTCGGGCCAGGAAATTGAGGGTTAATAATAACAACCTTATTTTAATGATTAACCTACCGATCCCCCCATCTCTTAGGGAATCAGTGTGTGGTACCCGGTGCGAGGTGACCCATTGTTTGAGGCCCTGGAGGTTTTTCTCCTTTTGGGGGGGGTGGGGCCTGAATTTTAAGTCTTGGGGTTTAACTTAATGATCTGGAGGGTTGTCTGCGGGAGTGTTTGCACGTGTGTGCGTAGCATGTTGCGTTGTAGCCCGGGACGGTGTCTGGGTGTGCGGTGTGTTTTGAGCCCTAGTGACCCATATTCCGCACTGTACGGTGGGTCCTTGGCACACTGCGCACTTACAGGTCGGTCCTTGGCACACTGCGCACCTACAGCTCCAAGGAGGGTGTGTAGTCGGTGCTGGCCACAAGCGGAAGTTCCCAGCGCCCATCATCTCTGTGTGGAATCTGCTCCTCTGTTGCCCTTGTGGCCCTCAGACTTCAGAGGACTATGCCTGGCCTCCCACAGTAACTGCCAACTCGGCAGGTGGAACTTGACGTGAAGAAGCTGTTGCTAGTTTTGTATGGAAGTTCCTGCTTTTGCTGAATTAGGAAGAAAAAAGAACCTAAATAAACCAGAGCCTCTACCCGAGTTGAGAGTGTGGAGACTCTTCCTGCACACCCCCTCCATCACCGGCCCCTTTCTCTCCTCAGTGAGTTGGGTCTCTTCCTGAGACACAGCATCAATCTCTGTTGGAGAGAGTGACCCCTCCGGTTCTGGGAGGCCCAGACCTTTCCAACGCCCCTACCCGAAGAGGAAGCTAACCCTTAGGGCTCTGAAGGTGCCTCCAAGAGAGGGTAGAGGTTCAGTTTCCGGGAGCCTGGCAGTGAGCAGTTTTGGTGATTAGACTTGGGAAGGAGTAAAGGATGGAGTGGGAATAGGTATCTGGTTTAAACTGATGGTTCTCAAATAACTTTGGCATATTGTAAAAGTTGAATTTGACCCTTATTTTGAAATGGAATTTTTGTATCCTAAATGTTGCCTATCTTAGGTATCTCTCAACCAAGCGACTTGCTTTTGTCATATGCCCACTGTGACTTTTCTAGGTCTTTTAAGTGGTCTGGTTGGGCTGGGATGGAGAGATTGCTGCCCTTTCTTTCTTATTCAGGTGCTCATGAGAGTTCTGCTGTGAGCAGTTCAAAATGGTGGCCAAGGGGAGGCCTCAGTAGAGTTCTTAAGTCAATCCCCCAAGGTGTCTAAATAATGTGTATCTTTCCAATTATGAAATTAATAAGGCTTTTTGTAGAAAAAAATTAAGCACAAAGAAGAATAGGGTATATGTGACCCACGTCACCACTCCCCGATAGGTAGGTTTAATCTTTTGGCATATGCCTTCCCAGTTTCTCTCCGTGTTCCAAAGTCCATTCAGATGCCTGTCTCCCACAGTGCCTGGTGAGATAGCGGCTGCACAGAGGACTCACGGTGTGGGAGCTGGCGGACATGTCCCCTCCCCTCCACATGCCAACTTGCTGCCTTCCTGGGACAGGACGTCCTGGTGCCATGGTCACTGCATGCTGACAATGCCCTTCTCTCCTCTCTATTCTCATTAACTCAGCAGCGCTGAACTCTGATGGTGATGGATTCCTGATAAGTCAGTTTTGATCGCCCCTTCATAAACTCAGTTAATTGTTAATCTACACAGCACACTGTATTTGGTGTGTGATCCAAAACATTGATTGGAACCCACCATGCAAACAGGCAGACACCCTCCTGTTCTCTTCCTGCGTCTCACTCCCCTGTGGATACAGTGGTCTGTTTCCTTCCAGACCCAGCTCAGTGATCCCCTCCTCCCTGACACCCTCAAGTCCTGCTGCTTCCACGGTCCTATGTCCTGTGTGTATTCACTTAATAGCACCCTCATGGCCTCCACTAGATGGTAAACCGAAATGAAGGGTCCATCTCTCTGGCACCCTGGCGATACCTATGGACGGGAAGTTTTTGAGTATGTGATTTGGTCAAGGTGATTCATGAGAAAACACAGAACTGTGGGGGCCTAGAGGAGGGAGCTACGTTTCTGAAGGATAATTAGCATATGATCATGAGGTGGACAGAACAAGGACATCCCAGAAAAGGAATAGTATCTACAAAGTCCTGGGGGTATGAAAGAGAGGTGTTGGGGGTGATCAGACCTTTGAAACACACGGAAGACCGAGTGTGGCCCTCACTGTCCGAGAGCAAGGCATTCAAGGTACAGGGCACCTCACTAGGAGCCGAAGCATCAGGTCACGAGTCTGATTTGAGATGTGTTCAGGTTGGGTGTGCTGGCTGTCCCCACCACTTCCACATGTTGTCCTTCCTCCAGTCTCTTTGCAGTGCCTTTGAGCTCTCTTGGGTGTTGTGCTGAGAGGCTCTTGGAAGGACAGAGGGCAGGGAGTGCCCTTCTCTGCCTAAATCATTCGGGCCAGTCCTGGTTCTTTGTCGCGTTCCCTAACATTCATGGCAAGTCACTCAACTCTTCCTGATGAGTTCCCGTAGAGCTTATGGCCTGTGTGGTGGGTGCTCCCTCAGGCCCCCTGCGGTGCTCCTCCTCCCCTTCCCCAGCAGTGCCCAGCCTGGTACTGTGCCATGTGTTTAATACTTGCCGCAGCATCGTGCCCTCCGTCCAAGGGACAGAGAAGTTGCTGATCAAATTCTTGATGATTAAAAACTATCACACTTGTTAGAATAAGAAGAAAAAAAAAATCCAAAAAAACAAAAAATAAAAAAATCAGAATACTCCTCCAAGTGCCATCTCCTCCCTGATGCTTTTTTTCTTATTAATGAGAAAGTATAATGAAATTATTCTCTACTTTCAGAAAGCATAAAGGATGTTGTTGGCAGAAAGATAAAAATCGCAGTGAAGAAGAAAGTAAAGGTGGAGGTTAAGGGAGACAAAGTGGAAAACAAGGTGCTGGTAAGTCTGGTTATTTGTGTTTATCCAAATGTTTGAAGTAAAATTTCTATTTCTACGTTGTCTTGATTGGGTGATTTTTTTTCACACAGCATTAGTTCTGGTGTTGTCTAATGTGTTCAAAAGTTCTGGTGACCATCTTTTTCTTTCTTTCTTTCCTTTTCTTTCTTTTTTTTTGGTAGCAGGGATTGAACCTGGGGACACTCAACCACGGAGCTGCACCCCTATATCTTTATTGTTTATTTTGTGACAGGGTCTCATTAAGTTGCTTAGGGCCTTAAACTTGTGATCCTCCTGCCTCAGCCTCTCAAGCCTCTGGGATTACAGGCATGGGCCACTGCACCCGGCCTTGTGACCATTTTCTTAGATTCTTTTTCTTTTAAAGAGTAAAGTCATTTAAATTTTAGAGCTTGAAGTTTTGTAATTGTATTTCTCAAAGTTGCACCTATGGTTGGATAAACTAGGGCCTGTTTTTATATTACTTGAAGTCTGACGATAAGTGGAGCTGATTTATTATCTTTGCTGTGGTTGATGATATGACTTTATTTATAAGGCCTCATGGAGGAGTTTAAAAAAGTCATCTCACATCTGTTTATTTGAAATTTCTCAAATGTTAATCTAAAGGGTGAGGACCTGAGGATTTGGACAAGGCATTTGCCGTCTTACAGAGGTTTTGGTGTTTCAGAGGAAGCGCCTGCTGGAGGTGGTATCTGCTTGCATTGCCTCTGGGCTTGGGGTTCCCTCCAGTTTGTGAGAGGAGTCTCTGGGGGGCTGAGGGTAGACCCCAGGTCACAAGTGCTCAGGGGGTCATCAGAGACGACTTGTACCTTTAGAGAGAAGAGAAGGCTTTGTGATATTTCAGTGGTTTCTGGATTGAGATTGTGGCAAATCTAAACTTACTCTTGAGTGGAGAGAACATTCTAATTTTATATCAGAAATCTCAAAACATGCAAAAATAGTGAATAGTATTGTCCTGAACTCTCTGTACTCATCACCTGGCTTCAGTGATTTTCAGTGTTTTTCTAATATTAATTCATCTATTTCCTGGAGCACTCTAGAACAAACTCCAAGCCTGTGCTGTTTGGAATAGTTTTAATGTTCCATTTTTGCAGTTGGAGTTGCTGCAGAATTTGAAGCGCCTTTTGGATAATGTCTGTCTTGAGAATCTTATAAAATTTCTAACTCCAGTGTGTGTTGGTTGGTTTGTTCTGCGGGGCTTCGGGGGGGCCTTGTGCTTGCTGGGCGCATGTCTGTGCTGAGCTGCACCCCGGCCCTGCTGCTGTCTTTGTAGCTGTGAGCATGGTGTTGATGGATGGCTTCTGTTTCTCTCCTCTTCCTGCAACACAACATGCTCACACATACTCTAACTGAGGTTGCCCATAGCAGAAGTGATTGGTGCCATTGCTTTGTTTCATGAAGCTTTAATGAAGAGTAAATTTTCTTAAATCATGTTTTTAATTATGTTACATTTTGGAGATGGTAGTATAGAGAGAAGAAATACTGTTTTGTTGTTTTATGTGGAAAACAAATTTTGGGGGGACAGTGGCTGCTAGGCCTGGAACTTGTGGCCTTGTGCATGTTAGGCAAGTGCTCTACCCCTGGGCTACACCCTAACCCTAGGTACATTTTTATTGAAGTAGTAACTGTACAGACCCACCTCTGACAGCTCAGATACCAGTAGTGTTTGCTACAGCAGTCTGAAAAATGGTACTTGAAAGTTGGGGATGTAACTCAGTGGTACAGTGGTTGCCTAGCATGTTTGAGGACTTGAATTTGATCCCTGGCATTATAATAAACAAATAAATTAAAATTAAATGGTATTTGGTATTATTTGCTATGAATAGTATTCACTATACTAACAACTAACCCAGGCCATGATTAAAATTTACAATGATGACGTTTCAAAGACAGAATTTGTGTCCAGTAATAATTAATGCCATTTAAAAATAGTTATGAACTGGGTACAGTAGAGCACACCTATAATCTTAGCAACTTGGGAGGTTGAGGAAGGAGGATCACAAGTTTAAGGGCAGCCTAGGCAACTTAGCAAGGTCCTTAGCAATTTAGAGAGACCCTGTCTTGAAATAAAACATAAAAAAGGACTGGGTATGTGGGTCAGTGGGTAAGCACTCCTGTATCAAAAAAGAAAAAAAAAAGTTATGATTAGTATTTACTGCAAAGATTATTTTTTGAGTTGACTAAAATTGTAAACAAACCATAAATGTATTTGAATTGAAGCACTGATCTCCTCAAGTCTGGAATCTAGGCGGTTTCTGGAAGCGTGGCCTGTACTTGTTAGGCTGTCGTCGACCTGCGTGGGCAGGGACTGGAGCAGAGGCCTGGAGGTCTGGCCTTGTCTGACAGGCCTCGGGCTTGAGCTCGGTCTCCAGGTGGCCTTCGCTTTGTGGATTTTGGAGTCTTGGAACTGGAGAAGTTTAGCCAGTCCCCATTCTCCTTCCCATACACATCCTTGCCCTTCCCTTGTGATCCTCTCCCGGCACCCTGGGCTCCTTTTCTGCTTACAGAGCTAGGGTGTGGCTTGGTTCCTTTTCGCACTCAGACACTCTGCTGTCCCCAGTGCATCTGTTATATTTATGTCCTCCTTGCTTCCCTGATCCCAGAAGCTGGTAGCTGCCCAGCTGCCCAGTGCTGGGCGGGGCAGTAGCCTGTTAAAGGCGCACTGCAGCTCCACGGGGAAGGCACGTTTACACCTCCACTTTATGGAGACACTAGAGTGAGCAGCTGCAGGTCATCCAGGTGCTGAGTGCCCCCACCCAGGGCATGGAACCCAGGTGTTTGCCTGCTGGGCAAGTCTCCACTACTGAGCTGCATCCCCCGGCCCCAGCCGGTTAAGGAGAGGGTTGGGATTTGAATTCGGATCTTCGCCATTGAGCTCAAAATTAGCAAGATGACCTCCTTTGCCTCGTTCAGTCTCGCCAACTTCAAACAGTGGTAGAGGAGATTTGGGGTTTTGAGGAAGGATTAGGACTCCATGTCTTTGTTGGATGGGATTGACTTTTGCGTTAGTTTGTTCCATGTTTATTGAGTCTCTGCTCTGTGCTGGCACCTGGGATGGGCAAGGTGGGCATATCCTCTGACTTGGTGGGGTTTCTAACGTGCGGTCCATGGGGAGGCAGACTTGTAGCTGAGCAGCAGCATGAAGCCGGAAGCGTGCTGTGTGGTGCTCAGCCAGAGGAGGGGGAACAGCTGGGAACGGTAAGGATGGGCCTGGCCCCTGCCTTGCAGTTGCTTCTCAGGTGGAGGTTGGGACTGGTTAAACAGGTCTCTGTGAACTTTACTCTCCTAGGGGCGCAGTGGGGAGTGCTTAAGGGCTCAGATTATTTTGGAGTCGTACTTCTCACTGCCACTCAGCTACTTTAAAACACCTTCATCGATTCCTTTTCTAATGAAACAGGCAGGTAGCAGTGTTGTGTATGTGTAGCTTGCTTTGGAGGTTAGGTGGGACATGTTTAAACACTGGTGAGCATAAGACCTAGAGCATGCAAACACCTAAAAAGAGATGTTGCATAAGGAGCCTGGTCCTGTTTTCTCAGTGGACAGGAAATGTGAGTCCTTTTGAATCACAAGTATTTATTTGCTGCTTCTGTTGAGTAGCTGAGATCAGCTCACCATGAGACCATGGGGCTCCTGCATAGTTTGAGACTCCTCATTAGCAGGACAGAGGGCAGCACACTGTCCTGAATTCTCAAGTGTGCTCTGGTCAAATGATTCCGCAATGCCTGAGTGACTTGGGAGAAGAGTATTCTATGCTCAGGTAAATTTAGCAACCAGGATGTTAATGATAGATCAGTTTCTTTACTGCATGGCTTTTCAGAGACATTCATATGCCCCTGCACATCATAAATTTTTTAAAGTCAAGGAGGCTGTCTTTTTGTACTTACTTGGCAAACAGCCTAATGATAAAGACTGCAAAACAGGTGAAACAGGCCGGAGCTGGTGCCTCGTGAGATGGTCTAAGAAAGACAGACAGGCTAGACCAGGTCACGGCTCCCAGTGTTCTCCTGAGGAACCGTCCTTTAACCTGTGTTTCTTATCTAAGTGGGGAGCCAGTGCACTGTCACCAGCCTGGTATGACCTGGCATCTGTTGCTGTGACACCTTTCTCTGTGGTCTTTTATTGTTTGGGTGGTTTGGGGATTCAACCCAAGGGCACTCTACCCCGAGCTTCATCCCCAGCTGTTTTATTATTTTGAGACATGGTCTTGCAGAATGGCCCAGGCTGGCCTGGAACTTGTGATCTTCCTGCCTCAGCCTCCCGAGTGGCTGGGATGACAGGTGTGGGCTGCTGTGCCAGGCTCTCTGTTGTCTTTGGGAGATGTTTGTAGGAAATGACCCTGTGTTTCTTGGCTTCTTATTTCTTTCTCTTCAATTGCTAATTCAATCTTTCCAATTTTTGCTGCACTTTGACTTTTTAAAATTTTTTATGTTTTATTTCTATTTTTGAGACAGGATATCATTATGTTGCCTAGGCTGGCCTCCATCTCCTGGGCTCCATCGATCCTCCTGCCTCAGCCTCCGGAGTAGCTGGAATGGCAAGTACATGCCATCATACTCAGCTAGTACTTGAACTTTTTAAACATGTGTTTTAATTTACTTATATTTCAAATAAACTTCAGTTTTATGTATTTATTTATTTTTAGTTTTTCGGCAGACACAACATCTTTGTTTGTATGTGGTGCTGAGGATCGAACCCGGGCCGCACGCCTGCCAGGAGAGCGCGCTACCGCTTGAGCCACATCCCCAGCCCTAAACTTCAGTTTTAGATAATACAGAGAGGTTCCCATATCCTATAAAATCATAGCATAATGCCACCACCAGGACACTGACTTTGAGTGATGCTGTGAAATGTGGGACTTTTCATTGCCTCAAGGATGCCCTCTGTTGCCCTTAGGTAGTCACGCTACCCCCTTCCCCGACCTCAGGTGGCCACTAGTTTGTTCTCCATTTTGTCATTTCTAGAATGTTCTGTGAATGTGATCATGC